TTCATCTTGTCAAACAATTTCAAAGCCTGTTCCTCCTCTCCTGCTTTCCCATAGGCATTGATCACAGTTGTATACGTAACAGCATTCGGCATCACCCTTTTGTGCATCATTGTCCCAATCAAGGCTGCTCCTTCCTTGTAAAACCCAGCTCTCACATAAGCGGCCACAAGCTCATTATACGTTACAGAGTCGGCAGGACAGTTATTATCCTCCATCTCTTTCAAAACGCTCAAGGCCTCTGAATAAATCCCTGCCTTACCAAAAAGTTGGAGCATTGCATTATAGGTAACCGTCCCAGGTACATAGCCTTGGGACTTCAATTTTGCAAAGAACCCCTTTGCTTCATTTAGCAGACCCTCTCTCCCACAAGCAGATATCACAGTACTGCAAGTAAATTCATCAAATTTGAGTCCATTGCTTCTCATTTCATCCAGTAGGCCTAAAATTTTATCCTAAGAGCAACCTATCTTCCCATAAACATCAAGCATGACATTATAAGTGACTAAAGTAGGAGACAGCCCTGTCTCCTTCATTCTCTCAAACACAGAGATTACTCTTTTGTACTTGCTAGTACGAGAATACACATGAAGAATGGTCGTATATGCTCGAACATCAAGAGAATAATCCTCAAGCGGAATTACATCGAGCAGCTTGGATGCAATCGAATGCTGTGATTCTCTCCCAAGAATTCTAACCATTAGCTCAACAACCTGATTGTCTATTTTGACATTAGAAGACTTTAAATTCAACACTACCCATTCAAAGAATAAAAGGGCTCTTTTCCAATTGCCCGAATGAGCTAATGCTTTCAATAAACTAAATATATCAACTTCAAGCAGCATAAACTTGTTAGAATCGAAGAAATCATGCAAGCTATGCAATTGCTGTTCCACGATTGAATCCAACATAAAATTACCCTTTCTCGACAAAAATTCAAATGACCCATCTCCCAACTGACCCTCCTCCTTACTGCCGTTCAACTACAAGACGGAAACCGAACTGGGTTTCTTGGGATGTGCTTGTCTATTAAGATTTTGACTAGAATCAACAGAAATATGCCGAGAAGTCATCTGGGCATTATTGCTCTGAGGTTTGGACCAGCGGGGAGCATTTGGTGTGGCAGAGAGGTTGAGGAGGTGTTGTAGGAGAGAATCCAGGGGAAATGAGGGTGGAGTTTGGGATTGACGAGGCAGTGGAAGTGTGGTGGGGTTGAATTTCAGAGTTGGGTTTGAGCGTGCTAGTCTGTTCATGGCAACGAGATGGAGTGGGCGATTGGGGAGGATACTTCCCTTCATTTCTGAGGAAAAAGGATGGGTTTTTTGGGGTTTGGGTTGGGATTCAGATATGGATGTTTTCAGGGGAAGATTGGATTGGCATGGCACATGGCACTGGCAGTGTGAGGATATGGAAGAGGCAATCTACGATGATTGGTGTTGATTGAAGATGGAATTAAGCAGAAGGATTGGCCACCCTGTTTGGAAGGCTATTTTTGTTTGGCAAAACCATAAGTTAAGCCCCTCAACTAACCCTAGAATCGCTATTAAGCCCCTAGACTTTATTGATACATATAAGCCCTTGAACTGTGGGATCAAAGCAATTAAGCCCTTCTTCTTACGCCAACTTAACTGCCGTTTGGGATTGCTCGCCTGACTTAACTGCTGTTGAGGACACACCGCGCTTGGCTGCTTGGATGGCAAAATATTGCCATGTCATGCTTACATGGCAACGAATTTAACATTGGCAAAATACCCAAATCCACCCCCCAACTATAGGGGCAGGGACGGATCCACACCCGAACAAAAAACGGGGACAAATACACCCACAAAGTTTTCGACTTGGACAAATAACCCATTATTTGACGGGCCACGTCAGCTGCCGTCATCTTCCCGTTAATGGCGTGCTTACTCAGACATTTTAAACACGGTGGAGGTTTTTTTGCCTGCGTGGATGCTGAACTGGCCCATTCCCGCCCATTTTAATCATACGTGGTGATTTTTCTTCCCTTTTCATTACACGTCAACTGGGCCCCACCTATAAAATTCCATAAAACCCTTAAATGGCTAAAACCTAATTTTATCTATTTGATTGAAGATTAAAAATGGAAATGAAAAGCCGGCTTTATATGCCTGTAAACCTGTAAACCCTGTAAAAGAAAACCAATCCCACGATTCTCCAATCTCAAGTCTCTCTACGGCAGTACTTGAAGAATCTCTTGATCGATGGTTGGAGGGGATACGACATTGCTTGGCGAATCTCAAGACTGAAATCGAAATAAGAAATTGAGTCAGCAAGATAAAGGGCTTCGTTGATCAGGACAAAGGGACAGTAAGTATTGTTTTGGTCTTTTGGTGTCTTTTTCTGTATAGAAAGTTGTGGGTGGGTTAGGGGTTTTATAAAGTGCTTATATTTTGTAGGTTTGACTGTGGGTTTGGGATGGGTAGTATATTAATGTTGATGTTAATATGTGGGCCACTAAAAAAGGTAATGCTTTTTTTTTTGTCATTTTTTATTGAACAGCATGGC